GCGGCGCGGTTGCGGCAGCAGCTGGGCAGCTCCCTAAATAGAAACCCTGGGGGAGTCTGCTCCTGCCAGCGCGGCGCGGACCCCGCAGAGCAGAGCTGGAATGGTGCCCCTTTGCTGTAAAGGGGGGGGTCACCCGTGGTTTTCAGTGCCCCCGCTTCCTCCGGGGCTGGGCTCACAGAGCCCTGACTCTGCCCCAAACGCCCCCCACTTTGCAGGAGGGCTGCATCAGATGCACGGCCTCCATCCTGACCCCGGGGAGCTGCCGGGACTCTTAGGAGGCTTCCGATTAGGGGCGTGAAAGGTGAACCGCAAAGCCAGTTAACCGGTAACCTGTGGGGCGGGAGTGGCCCCCACCTGTCGTGGGCAGGGGGCTGCTCCTGCCCCACAGGGGCCCACAGCAGACAGGGGTTGCTTCAGCGGGGGCTGAGAGATGGAAGTTGGCCACAGCCTCAGCCCCCGAGCAGGGACTGGGAGCTGGGGGCGGGAGCCCCGCTGGCAGGGGATGGCTGGCGTGACATCCCGGATCCCGAGTTAGTTGCTTAACTGGTGAAACATTAGGTTAACCCACCGTTTAACAGGTTAACCAATTAACCAGAACTGGGCACCCCTAGTTCTGATACACGACCCACTCACCGCCGTTCTAGGGGCCCCACGAATATGTGTGTGTGTGTGTATGTGTTCCAGGGGCCCAACGTGTGTGTGTGTGTGTGTGTGTGTGTGTGTCTCTCCTCCAAAAGCCTGAAAACACTGTGTGTGTTTGTGTGTTACGGGGGCTGTGTGTGTGTGTGTGTGTGTGTGAGAGAGAGAGAGAGAGAGAGAGAGAGTGTGTGTGTGTGTGTGTGTGTGTGTGTGTGTGTGTGTGTGTTTGAGCTCATCACCTCACCTCCATCCCAGGGGCCCAATGTGTGTGTGACTGTGTGTGTTTGTGTGTTACGGGGGCTGTGTGTGTGTGTGTGTGTGTGAGAGAGAGAGAGAGAGAGAGAGAGAGAGCTCATCACCTCATCCCCATTCCAGGGGCCCAGTGTGTGTGTGTGTGTGTGAGAGAGAGAGAGAGAGAGAGAGAGAGCGCTCATCACCTCACCCCCATCCCAGGGGCCCAGCATGTCTGTCTGTCTGAGCTCATCATGGCTGGGCAATACGCCCCTGCTAACACCTGGTTTTCTCCGCTCCTTACAGGACGGGGCTGTGGGTGGCAGCAGCAGCAGCCTTGTCGTCCCGGGCCACACAGGGATGCGTCGTGCGTCTCGGCAGCTCCAATGGCGTTCATGTCCAGGTTCTCCAGAAGCAGCTCCAGGTCACCCAGCCGGAGGGCTCAGGAAGACGCCGGCAGCCCCCCCACTCCCAACCT